GGCGGGAGCACCGCCGCGCTCCCAAGCGCCGCACTCTACCGAGTGCGCCACCGGGCCGGCCCAAAATTAAAAGTTTTTGATTGGCAAAAGACCCTATTAAGAGGACAAAAAGACAAACTACAAACTGGGAGAAAATATTTGCAAACAATGTATTTGACAAAGGCCTAGTATCTAGAATACATGAAGAACTCTTAAAACCCAACAGCAAAAAACAAACCATTCATTTAGAAAATGGGCAAAACACATGCACAGACGTTTCACCAAAGAGTATATACGAATGGCAAACAAGCACAGGAAAAGAGGTTCAACATCATTAGCCATTAGGGAAATGCAGATTAAAACCACTATCACACAACTATCACAACGATTAAAATGAAAAATAGTGACAACATCTCATGCTGGGGAGAACGTAGAGAAACTTAATCACTCATTCATTGCTAGCGGTAACATAGAATGGCATAGTCACTCTGGAAAATGGTTTGGCAGTTTCCTTAACAAGTAAACATTCAGTTACCATATTACCCAGCAGTTGCACTCTCAGACATTTATCTTAAATAAATGAAAACTTATGTTCACATAAAAATTGTACATAAATGTTCATAACTTTTGTTTGTAATAGACAAAAACTGGAAACAATCCAGATGTCCTTCAACAGACGAATGATTAAGCCAACTGTGATACACCGCCTGGAATACTACTCAGCAATGAAAAGAATGAACTATCGATACATGCAAAAACTTGGATGAATCCCAGGGAAATTATACTGACTGAAAAAAGCCAATCTCCAAAGGTTATGTACTATATGATTCCATTTATATAATTTTTGTTTGTTTTTTTGTTTGTTTTCCTTTTTGTCTTTTTTACTGACCGGAAATGGGATTGCAACCCTCGGTGTTGCGCCCGCACCGCGCTCAGCCAGTGAGCGGAAACCGGTCTCCACATGGGATCCGAACTCTCAGCGGGAGCGCCGCCCTGCTCCCAAGTGGTGCACTTTCCAGTGCGCCACCGGGCCAGCCCTATATAATATTTTTGAAATGGCAAAACTTTAGAAATAAAGATTGCCAAGGGTTAGAGAAGGGTGTGCAAGGGAGGTGGGTGTGGTTATAAAAGCCAACGTGAAGGATCTTTGTGGTGATGGAACTCTTCTGTATCTTGACTGTGGTGGAAGAAATGTGAACCTACACAAAAAATAAAATTGTATGGACCTAAACACAGATAAACACACACACATATATTCACACACATGAGTACAAGTAAAGCTGGGACCATCTAAGACCTGTGAATTGTATCAATGTCAATATCCCAGGTGTAATATCATACTACTGTTTTGCAAGATGTCACCACTGGGAGAAATGGGGTGAAGAGTAGGTGCATGGGGTCATGTGAATGCACAATTACCTTAATAAAAATTTCAATTATACAACCCCACAGTTGTAGGGCTTTTTAAAAAACACCATGTGGGTTTAGTTTTATTCTACCATCTTGAATTGAAAGAAAACCAGTAAAGAGTCAAGCCATTTTGTTCACTGATACCTGCATGAAGGACTTTCTTTTTCTGAACCTTTTGATTTGAAAGGCTCCATGGTACTTTCAACATATTTAGGGATGAGGTTCGTGTTGATTCGACATCAGGTTGATACTTCGCACATTTTTCTGGGGTTGAAACCATAGAACAGATTTCCTTTTGATGCCTGTTTTCATTTAGATAAAAAGTAGATCCCCCCAAAAAAGAACAAAACAAGGGAGAAAAAAAGAAAATTTCCATCAAAAAGGCAGAGTCAAACAAATACACTCATGTTAAACACTGCAAATATAAAGAAATGAGCCTTCCCCCATTGGGGTTAATGTAAAAATAGTCCTGTTCCCAGCCCTACTCAGAAGAGTGGGAGGGGCCCAGCCCTGGAGTCAGATGTGGCTCCCAGCACAGGTCTGCTCCTCCCCGGCGGCGTGACTGGTTGAAGTCACTCAATCCTCTCTAAACAACCTCACCTTCCTCATCTATAAACTGTGGGAACCTTCACCTGAGCACTGACTACATGGGTCTGAGGTGGGAACTAATATGAGGGCGGGCCGGTTGTCATGCAAGCATTGCAGAAACCCATTTCTCTAACCAAACCAGCATGCTCTTGTAAAAACTAGACAAGGGAAACTCCTGCCTTGGATCTCCCATGCCAGCACCAGATCCCAGAAGATCTGGGACCAGAGGGATCTCAGAAATGCTTGAGTATTTTCTCTGAAGCTCTGAACACAGCAGCCACATAAAGGAAAGTTTCCAGAACAATCTCCTGCTCCGACACTGAAGAGTGAGCACTCCCTCCTTCACCAGCCCCCCCCCCCACTCCCCATACCTCCGTGGAGCACCGGCCCCACGTTCCATAATCCTTTGTGCGGCTGGATTCACACTGTGCATCCTGTAGCAGAAAGGACCAGGTTTACCTTCATTTGTGCATCCTGGTTCTCCTGGTGCATGATTTGTACTCAACACACATTTGAAGAAAGATGTGGGAGCTATAACATTTTTTTCACCTGGTAGAAAACTAGAAAAAGGCAGTATATTGTTGACCATAACTAAGAGGGAGAATTAACTTTTCCAAATGTTGTTAAGTTATCAGGCAGTATAGAAGCAAGATAACTATAGAATGAGGTGCCATCTTTCACTTTTTCCTTTATATTGATTTAGAGCTTTTATTATATGCCAGATATACCCTCATTTTGACCCATCTGACAATCCTGTAACTACCATCATTCCCAGGTTATAGATGAGGAAACTGAGGCTTAGCGAGGTTAAGTAACTTGCCCAAAGTCACCTAACAGGCAATGATTGGAATATTAAAATATTTCTCTGACTCCAGAATCTGCTCCCTCCAACCTCTCCCCACCCCAGATAACAAAAAACCGAGACTGCATCCACTACTCAATCAAACAGCAGACACAGCCAACTGACCAATCCAACTTCCAAGCATAGCTGGTCATTTTGTCCTGAGACTGTCAGTTTGATTATGCGAGGGAAAGAAGACAATTAAGGTAGTGACTGAGAGTACACAGAAGGTAATTTATACTTAAGTGCTGTTTGTTTATTTGATTCTTCATTTATTTTTTCAAATTTTCTGAGTTTA